AGTGTCATGATGGTCTCCTGCTTGAAAAAAAATCCGCCATCAAGGCATTCCCCTTGGAATGATCATTTTCTTTTGTCTTTGCTAAACGAAGAGGCCTTTTCTACACTTTTTAGTCATTCGAAGCACAACCTCTAAAAGTCCTCATTTATTTCATACGTTGTCCTCTCCTTGCAACGAGAGGGGAGTTTGGTGGACATTAAAAGCTGTAAAAGTGGTAGAAACGGTGGTGTGATTCCTCATTTATACCTCGTCCATCCCGCTATAGCCGCACATTCCCACTTCTCCGAGTTAGAAGTATATGCAATTCAGAATTTCGGTTATAAATTGGGATGGAGCTGGGAAAAGAACTGGGTTTGAATACCAATGTCGACTGGTGAAAACAACGATAGAATCATAATTATTACCGAATACGAACGAATAGGATATTGGAACAAGGGCAGAACAGTTCTCGGAATCTTATTGATAAATGTGTCTCACAAAGGAAAGCTTTGTTTTACAAAATTCATTTTTAGACGACTTGTAAATGGTACGCTTTCCTTTTAAAATATGCTACAAAATCTGTCATCCCATTTCTCGAAATAGCAGCAAATTTCCCGTGATGAGCTCAAATCTACAAGGTGTCTCTAAATGGCTGGCTGCCTTGAGACAGTTTTCCTGAGACTTTTTTCCGCTTTATTACACGGATTTATTTGCACAGTGTGAATGTTTGGTTGCATCACAGATTGGGATCAGGCTGATGTGGTTTCACCTTCTTTTTACCCGTACGTCTCTCTAGAAAACCGAGCTTTTTATTTTCATCATCATTTCTCTGGAGCAGCAGTGTGTCATTCATGACGATGTCATTTCCCTCCTCAATGTGTGTGTTTACGTTGATGTTGAGTTGGATTTTTATTTTTATGATTATTTCACAGGTGAGTGACTGGTGGTGTGAGGAGTGTAGTGGCAAAAAGTAGTGTGTGTAAGTTTATGTGTATGTAAGGAAATTGGACGGAAAGAGCTGTTTCATGTTCATTTGATTCATCTCCGGATTTATTTGGAGGAGCTGCTTCGCTGCTCGGATTTAAATCGAGATCTCAGCTCGCAGACGTCTTATTTCCCACAAACCTCTCCAATAGGAAAATGTGACACTTTACAAATCTGAATGAGCTTTGAAGATGATGCCATCAGCTCATTTTTAGGGAAATTGAGAAGTGGAAATATTGCACAGGCGTTTCATGTAGATTTCATTTCATGTGGAAAACCTAATCTTGGTAGTAAACTGACGTGAACAAGGTGCCCGAAATGGAATGAGACGAGTCCGAAATGGTGGCTGAACTTGTTGACGTAACCGTAAAGAAGGGAATGCATTTTCAATTAGGATATTGATTACGACGTTGATATTGCGAATTGGTGGGGAGGGTTATGAGAATGTGACAATAAGGACAAATGATAAGAACGTGCCAAAGCACCTCATGCAACGAGATCCAATTTTCCAGGATCCCTTTATGGTATTGAAATTGAACCCACACATTATCACTACACGGCTCCTCTGGAGGACAGCTTACAGCACACAAAATTCCGAAATAATATATTTTACAATTTCTCTGTTTCACAGCACCCTGTTAAATATAATAGGTCCCAATAAGTCTTACCGTCTCATGGACAATAACATTCACTTTGTCATGAAAACGATACATCATTCTTCACACTGTGTGAAATCATCAAAAGTAAGGTAAAAAATTTCTATTATCCTCTCAAATAATTGCAACTTGAAAAAGTATTCTAAACCCATCATGAAGTTATAATATGTTCCTACATAGGTTCGAAATATTTATTATCAGATATATTTATTGGATCGAAATTAGCAGCTCTGTATTCGAAATACTTTTATTTTGATCATATTTATCATGTTGGGCTTCACATTAGTCGAAATTATGTATCGTAGTTCTAATGTCAACCACTTACTGACATATAGGAATAAAACGAGGAGCACAAACACGATGTTTGTCTTATTTCGTTTAGATTTGTAACTTGGAGACGTGATGCAACATAGTAAATTCACAATTATTATGTAACTGATTACAAGCATAACCACTCCAAAATCAAGAAATACGCCATCCAGTCGTATACATATTCATGCATGATGACATGAATGCCAAATAAAATTGGAACGAACGTGCTCAAAGTCGGAATATGTACGAGACTTGTCTGCACCCAACAAGCAGTTGCTTTCCCTTATTTCCCACCACGAACAGAAGAAGCAGCAGCAGCAACCAACCTAATTAAACTAGTCTGCTGCTCAAGAACAACAATGTCAACTTGTCATAATGATGCTATCCAAACAATGAGCAATCCACGTGGCGTACATATTTCCTTTATTCTTCGCCTTATTACTCGGCCTTGTCCCTTCCAAGTACAAAACCTATTTCTGACTACGTCTCATAAATTCGAAAACTCCAATTGAACGAGTATGCGGTACTTATGCAAAATGGAGAAACTTTTAGAATCACTATACGCTCATAAATTATTACAAGCTGAGCTTCGTACACCCTTCCTTTTAGGAATTGGGCCGTAATTTGCTTTAAAACTAACCGAATAATTTAATTAATTCATCAGCTCACTTTTTCAATCCTAGACAGATTTATTCGTCAATTGTAAAAGTTTCAGGGTGAGAGTAATTAACGATAATGTCCTTTGGGTTTAGGAATGGGCAGCATAACATTAATGGATTCAGTTAATGGAGTGCAATTAGTTTGGGAATAAATCAAGACGGCAACAAACAAGGAGCAAAATGAGAAAGCAACAATTCTTTCCATGCAACAAAGAAACCAAGTTTTTACATTTTGCAAGATTGAGACATCAATTATAGTGAGAACTTTTCTTGCGAGATGGGCAAATGCCATCAATGCCATGACGACTTAATTGATGACAAAGTTTGCATTATGCTCAGCGACGCTATTGAGCAAGACATAATGTTTTGGCAAAGAGAAAGGATCCACATCAGGCATTGGAATTAGGGTGGACAAATTTCGAAATATTTATGCCCTGGAATTTGGCAGCTAAATTATTTACAAAAGCAAATATCTAGATGATGCCATTGAGCAGTCCGAGCCTTGTTGATACTTGTCTCGCCCTCCACAAACCGCTGACTGTCAATATCGAGCGTATTATTTCTTTCATTGATTCTGATCCTCGATATAAATTTCATTGAATCCAGACCCCTCCCGAATCTCGTCCGGTTTGCTTATGCTGTAGATAAGAGCTTATTCTGTGTCTGTGTACTTGAGTGACCACCGCCACCTTTGTCTCACACACTTTCTCCAATTTCGTGTTAGTTGGTATGGGAGGATGTTATTGATTGGCAATTGAGAAGACAATTCCCACTGGAGCAGTTTCCCCATTGATCAACCTCTTGCCAATTTACCACTGAATTTACGACCTTTGTGCTCCGAGAAGAGGGGAGTAAATAAATAAACAACGAGACATTTCTTGAGCACACAAACCAACACCAACACCGCGACCTCCCCAGCAGTTCACAAGTCTCAAACGTAATGTAATGTAATTGGACATGTCCACTTCCACCATCACCTTCTCGCTAGTCGCAATCAAGAGGAAATAAATGGATGTCAAATTCAACACGTATAAAGAGATGGGGGCACGTGTTGATTTTTTGTGAAAGAGATGGCTTTCCTAAAAAAGAGAAGAAGGAATTGGGATATTTTATGTATTTCACTTTTATTATACTTTCTCCCCGAATACTTTATGGCCAAAAAGGATGAAAAGTATGTAAGGTGTGTGGTGGTGGTGGTGGTTCTGGTCGTGGTGGTGGCAGAGATAGTTGAAAAGATGGTGATGATGACGATGATTTGAGGGAGATTGTTGAATAAGAGCTGACTTGTAGCGTTCTCAGCCTCCCACTCTTGAAACGCGTACCTACCTACTTGCATACATACGTTCGTGTGTGGTGGAGGAAAGCGCAGAGTCGACAACTTTCTCCCTTTCTTGCAAATTCACCAACGACGACGACATCTCCACCACTCCACGCTCAAGTGTCCATTCTTTGTGGCTTCTTTTGTTACAGGGAAGCCGTCCCAGGGTGTTTACCCCAGCAGTTGAAACTTAAAAATTATGTAACTTATAATTTCACCCTTTTCCAAATGTATTAACTTTCTCTAGAACAAGTCATGAGGAGGACTTTGAGTAACTAGTGTTGAGATTCAGTCGATTTGCTTTAGTTGAGAATGGGTTCGAATTTGAGACTTGACGATAAAAAAGGAACCCTGGTCAACCCGGATTTGGCAGCTCATCCTCGCCCCATTCTGCTGAACCACTTGATTGCATTGCCAACAATGAATGCGGGGCTTTGTTATCACCCACTTTCACTTGGCATCCAAAAATCCTTCGTCTTTCTCCCTTCTTCAGAGAGGAGATCTTCTGATTCACGTCCAAATGCGAGCCCAAATCAACCTGATGCCGTGCCAGCTCGCCATCATCAAAAGTCCTCCATGCTCCGTGGGGCTTTCCGGTTTCAAATCAAAATCCTTCTCTTTCTCAGATTTTTCCACGGATTTGAAACGGATTTATAAGCATACAATTATGAACCACCAAACACTTGCTGAACATCATTTATGAAATCATGGTGTTCAAAATCTTGTCCGTGTCCTTGACGTGTCCTTGACGAGTCCCACGTATGGAGCTTATGTAAGTGGTACTGCAGACACAGGGGCATGAGCTATATTTAAACTTAATTATGAAAAGTGTTGCATAAATGAATTTATTAGTTCCGTATTCCGTACTCCGTGTGGAATTGAACTGCTATTTGCGGTTTTATTAATTAGATTCCTGGATTTAAAAGTACACACATTACTCAAACCCCAAAAGCTGGTTTGGCTTTTATACAGAAATATTACTTCCATAGTTTAAAATACATGCGGCATTTTACGCATTTGGTGGTGTATCATTTTCTTACTTATACAATGAACTTGGACGAGGGCTATAAAATCTAGTGGGCAGGCAGGTAGGCAGTTAATCGCTATCGATATATTACCACAGCACATATATTTGATTTGCATAAAGTGGAATGAAATCCCTGCTGCCAGTCCTTTTTGTTGGTGTGCTAGCTGTAAAGCTATGCTCTGCAGCGGCATGCAAACAGCCAACAAATATTCCTCCAGGGTCCCATTGTAAGAATAAGATGCTTAATTATTTTGTTCAATATCTATTTAGTTGTTTGTAATTTGTAATGTCATTTGTTTAGGGGTTGGCGATGAAGACTGTAAAATGGGAACGACGTATGACACCGTCAAACCCCCGTATCACTGCCACTGTTGGGAATTTTGCGGTTACATTTGCGACCCAAAGAACGGTTTGATGCCAATTTACATATTTACATACCTGCCTGATTGTCACTTTTTCAGAGTCTCAAAATTTAATACATATTAAGGTACCAGTACCACGACCAAACCAACTACGACGACGACGATGATGACGACGACAACTACGACGACGAAACCAGGTTGCAAGCATGGAAGTCCTTGGTACCCTAAACCAAACACGAGATGTATTTGCAAATCTCTTAATAAACAACAGCACTACGAGTGCAAAACTACAAACACGACAACCACCTCGACAACGGCAGCAACAACCACGACGACTGTGGCAGGAGGATGATAATTATACTAAATTCTTGCATATTTAAGTATTATTCTTTAAAAATACTTTTTGATCTTTGTAGTTTGCAAACCATTTCAGTTTCACATAGTCCGAAGCAGGGTTTAATCGCATGTAATCGTTCTGTCCCTCCGTCTGTTTTTCGATAACTGTCCGATGTGTCGATAGATTTTGACCAAATTTGGAGAAACATCTATGTATCTGCAACGACCCAGTTCGAAGATGGGTTTGGTACAAAATATTTCTCGTAGTCGTAGAAGGCTTAAATTGGGCATACTGGGTCAAACATATTAAAAAACTATATTTATTGGAATATAATCGGATGGCCAAAAGTGATGAATTTGTGCAGTAATAAATCCTGCTCGGGCTAAGCAAAACTGTATTTCCTTCAGTTATACACACACTGCAGAGAATATTGCATTAATTTGCTGACACTTCGTCACCCACTTCATCCACATCAATCCACGTCCGTCATCCATCCATCGAGCAGAGAAGGAGTGAATGCAGGGGTTGAATTAATGGGGACCACGAAGAAAGAAAGCGCTTACGTGGCACTAATCATGAATGACTGGATGAGATTCGGTGTAATCTCCATCTACTTTCTTCGTCTCCACCCAAAGAGATTTCTTGCCAGATCCTTCACTCCTTTGAGAAAGAAGACTACAAAAGACGACCATTTCCTCATCAGAGCAGGAAAGTGTGAGGAGGGGCATGCAACAACTTCAAAAAATCTCCCAAATATTCCAAACGAACGTCCACACTTGCTGAAAACTATTGGATGCAAAAATACATAAATCTCATTTTTGTCTTGGCATTCACTAGTCTGTGAATTCCCCATGACCTTCACTTCCTCATAAAAGGAACCAACTACACACCAGCATCCGTCATCCTTAACGTATTATCAAAGTTCAGGGTTGAGTGGGTCCGAATCATCCTTGCTGAGTCTGTACATACATCATCTCATCTGAACATATTTCAAGAGGAGTGTAAAAATGCGAGTTGATGACTTACGAGGCTAAAGAAAGTGCGAGGATCATTATAAAAGAAGAGTAATAACGTCAGGATTGCATTGATGAGTTGACACATTTCATCATCCAAAGTGTAAAACAAGTGGCTCCTATTTTTCATGGACGATGAGGCGAGTTCTTTGAAATTGGGTTCCGTTGATGTCTTCATTCAAGAATGTTCTAATCCTCAGGTAGAAGCAAATCATTAAACGAAATTGGTATCGTCCAGTGTTCAGAAGCAAAAGTTTTCAGCTTGCATTTATTACGTTGAGATGAATGTGGGATCCTGGTTAGACTTTCACCTTATCATTAGCTCTGCCCACCCACTCGGACACATCCCCGTCTAATAATAAGTAACTACCTCTGTCAGAAGAACCCCTACCAATTCAAAGGACTTTATGTATGTCTTATAGGTTGAGAAGGTCCCTTGCTTTCAGTATACGTGCCTGTGTCGGTCGTACCTTTGAGCTTTCTTCAAGATTTTTCAAACTGAAACTTGATATAAAAACACAGATAAAAATACAAAAACAAATATATATTACGCAAACAAAGCATAAATAGATTATCGTTTATTACTATATAATAGAATTCACTATTCTCTCACCTTCAAGCTCAATTTTATGTATACATAATTAGGTAAAATAATGGGCAAAACTTCTATGTTTACCCTTGTCGATATTCCCGAATTTCTAAAATAGACCCAAATTCTACCAAATAATTCTTGAGCAACAAACTTTTTTTATTCTTCTCCCCAACTTTTCCTTTACTGCATTTTGGTCCCCAACATATTTTTATCATTTCTGTTTGTTTTTGTAATCAACGTATCTTGGGTCGTCATCTTGCTTTCTTCGTGTCATTTCCCGTCATCTCTCCCCATTGTTCTGTCTGCCCGTCTCCTCCCTGGGCTTATTCTGGCTGGATTGGTTGGGGCATGCCGTCTGCGGGTATTGTCTCCCTCCTGCCTGGTTGCGGGCATTTCTTTCGCATTCCTCTCCTCACTCCCCATTGTTCTCTCCTCACTCGTTCCCTCTCTCTCTCTCTCCGCCGCCTGTCTCCCTGCTTGGCTGGCTGGAGTGAAAGAAGAAGAATAACAACCAGATGCGGACGTCAAGTTTTTTGATGGATGATGAATTGACGTAGAATGGAAGCAAACAACAAGTAATAATAAGAAACAACAACAAAAAACCCATAAAAGCAAAGATGGAGACAAGAAATCAACAAGTCATTCATGCAACAAAGGGAAAGGAAATGGACAAAAAATACTTGACTGCGTCCTCATCGTCTCTTCTCTTCTTCAGCCTGCTTTCACTTTATTCTTCATTATAAAGAAATCACGCTTTTTCCAAATTTATCGTCACAAATGCGAAAATGTCATAAGAACTGATAAAGAGTTAAATATTTTTTCTTTAATAATTACTAAAAAAATGGTCTGATTCATCCAAAATTATTTGTAACATCTTAAAATTATGAATATGTCATCATTAATATATTCATCAAATAAAAGCGCTGATTACTCTTTACTCTGCAAAAAGTGAGCTTAATTAGGCCCCCTGTGACTTTCTCCACTTTCATGTTAGAGCTAATTTTGTCTGTTTGTGCGTCATGACAAATTTTCCACCTGAATATTAATTAATGCGAATTTGCTTTCCTGTGATTTATCTATTTGTTTAATTAATTAATGCTTTGATTTCTTTCTGTGATTTAAAGTGAAACAAATGCGACTTCATCTTGATTGATGGCGAGGATGACGATGGAGAATCAAGTATCAGCGAAAATTTGTTGATTTGTAATAAATAAATGTTGACTCTCTTTGTTGGTGCTGGTGGATTGTGGATGATGATGATGATGATGGAGCCTCCCTGACATTTTGTTGTTTGAGCAGAAACAACCCAATAATATATGGAACGGAAGGGAGGAGGCAACAATAAATAAACAAATGACTCTGGTTAGGAATCCACGCATTCTCCGCATTCCATTCCCAGGGAGAAAGTCTGACTGAATGGGAGTGAAAGTGAAGGACATTTATAAATGTCGTCCTTGTTGGTTTGTGGGGAAAGCGGAGCAGATATCGGATTCCGATCCTTCTTTCTTCTTTTCTTTGTTGCCATGTTTTGCAATTGTGCCCTGTTGTTATGCGGAATATGTGGATATGGACCTCACGCGCACACCAGATATGAAATCCTTCACGTTGAATGAAAAGTTCAATTTGTGTCCTGAAATAGAACTATTTATATTGACTCTTCATTGCTACGGGAGGAAAACCACTGTACCAATCATCAATAATCAACGTTTCTGTAGAAACTTAGCGGCATATGCTGAATCCACAAAAACATGTATGCATACACTGTTGTAATTTGCAATTTTATTGCTAGTCTCAGTACTGAAAAACGATTGGGTCACACTGACGACTTTGGTAAACAGCAATTCGTAAGAAAATTTACTAATAAGCCAATAATCTTTTGGAAATTTAAGAACGAGGTACTTATTTGTTTTTAGTAATGAACAACAGTCCCACCCGAAATAAATTGAGAATTCCATGCAATTGTACGAGATGGAAAATGTTCTTTGGTTGGAAAAGTAAATTGACCATCCAATCCTCACCTCATCTTATTCAAGAAATAGAGTCCTAACTTTCATTCATGGCGAAGCACAATGTATTTCGCTGTGAGAGGGAAAGAAATAGGGAGAAATATTTCATTTGGCTTTTCCGAATTTGCATGATTTGATTGGGCGAAGAAGGGAAGGCGGAATTGTAGTCCGGAATTGTAGATGTAATAGTAGTGAAAGTGTAAAGAGCAGAGAATTGACCATAGGAAACCACGGCACAAATAAGTCAAGTCAATCCATGAAAGGAAGAGATGAACCCATTGTTTCTCTGCTGCACTGGGATTGCCACTGGAGAGGGAGAGATTTGAGATTTGCCAAGATTTGTGGCTTTATGGCTCAATGCCTCATCTCTTGAGATAGATATTCCATAAAATCCCTAAAGTACTGAGGGTACAGTAAAATTTAACAGTTTGGGACATTCATGCATTGGAAGGGTTCCACTTTATCAATTGAATCAGAAGGCCCTAAACTTGCACTTGAGTTTAATAATTCTGAAATTGGCGTTGTGATCTCTCGATGGGAATGGGACGAGGCTCCTTTCTCGTCATCTCGTCTTGGATGTTCGTCTCCATCAAATTTCCAACGCCTATTTTCACACAATATCTCCTTCCACCAACGACTCCTCGGTTTGTTAGATATTACGAAATGATATTTGCCCCGATTTTATTTTATTGCCTGCTTGACTCCGCTCGTGAGGTTGGCCTGGAGAGAAATGGTTTGTGAGATATGGGTGGATAAGAGGAGGAAGGAAACCTTTGCTATTGATTTGTGGTCGCCACCAAGGAAAATGTCAAATAGCCAAATAGCCTGTTGGATCAACTTCAATATCTCCTCCAAAGGAGAGGAGACAAAGACTTGGCTGTTCAGAATCTCGGGAGAAATGCCACCAAGGAATCCGATCCGATAAGTCCAAATAATCTTATCTCATTTTTCATCTACAAAGTTGCTCATCTCATCTGTGACGGAGACGGAGGTGGTGGTCGCAAAACGAGAAGCCTGCCCACCCAAACTCCTCCATCCTTGGTGAAGTCAAAGTGAAATAAAAGCAATATAGTTGACCATCACTTGCCCAACTCCTCGAGAAGAAGGTATGATGTTGGTCAACCGGTTGCACTGACATTTTGATTTTACCCAGAATACCAACAAAAAAAATCAGGTTGGGTTATTACTTTGGGGGACATCTCCTGTCCGACACAAATGTCACCATCTCAAATCTCATCTACTCCTCAGCCCCAACACTATCTTTTATAATATACTCCTCGGTTTCTCTCTCTCTGTATTTTTGTGTCCAATCTCAGTCCCAACCAATATCTGCGACACACATGAAAAATGTCACTCGCTCACAAAACACAATTTGCTCAGCAATTGTCACCCAACGTGTCTAATCTCTTGCGCGCAACCTTGTACAATAGGTGCATACGTGAATGAGCGTACTTATGTGCAAGCGCATTAAATCCACGTTTAGCTGAGCTTGCTTTACTCTTTAAAATCTCACGTATGTTCGCCGGTGCCTTTTTCAGGAAACGAAATGAGGCGCAACATTTGGTCACAAAACTGCATCAAACTGAACGGAAAGTGTCCCCATCATAATGAAAATGTCTTTAGTTCAGAGTGGCTGGCTGCAACTTGTGACGAGATAACAATTGCTGCCTCCACGCACCCACCCACCGAAGGAGAGGAGGAGGAAGAGGAGATGATCATGAATCGGAATTAGATTAGCCATTACCCAACCGTCAGCAGCTGAACACTTCCCCCTCTGATTGCACAA